TCCATCAAGAAAAATCCAAACAAACAGAGACTATAAGAAGAATCCAAACAAACTATCAGTTCCTGAAAACAACCATCAAGAACCCTAATAGATGTTTGAGTACGAAACGGAAACATAAACTCGGGCCCACAAGAATCCATCAAGAACATAACAAATGTCGAGCATTAGAAGAAAACATGAACTAATACCCACGAAAATCCATCAAGAAAATAGAGATCACAAGAAGAATTAGTACCGAAAAAGAAGCATTAAGAACCCCAACAAATATCGAGTAAAAGAAGAAAACATAAACTAATAATACCCACAAAAATCCATCAAGAAGAACCCTAATAGACAAAAATTTTAAAAAGTATCAGTACCCAAAGGGAACCATCAAGAACCCTACCAAATGTCAGGAAAAAGGCGAAAACATGAACTAATACCCAAAATAATCCAGCAAGAACCTTACTGAACATATATCGACAGAAGAAAACACGATTTAGTACCCACAAATTTCCGATAAGGACCATCAAGAACCCAAATAAATAGTGATTCCAAGTAACGAAGAATCAACAACCCTAATAAACAAACTTCGAGTAAAAGAAGGAAACACGAATTGGTTTCCACAAAAATCCAATAATTAGTACCAAAAGATTCCGACGAAAACCAAGATTATTTACATCAGAAACGACAACAAGACTGAACACCAAAGGAGATTCCAAGAAACAAAGAACACTATTACTACGACATAAGAAATAACAGAGGAGGAGTCATCATCACACCATATTTCTTGTTCTAAATGCGGTGAAGAGCAACGACGAGACAAGGAAACCACCCTAGAACCCTTCCCTTTCCGACGACTCCGCTCGAGGCCTCTTATACGTCGACCGGAGAGCGAGTCCTTATATGCGCTTGCCGATGGGGCGACGCGATGACTTACTCCATCGGAACTTATAGCTTAACTGGAATCCATATAACTCGTGGGGACAATTTTCTAAAAGAGCCCTTCTGTTTTCGTTATTCCCATTTAACTACTACTCTTTGTAGGTTTTCCCACCAAACGAGTGTGTATATATATACACACACGTGTGTATGTGTGTGTGTGTGAAATTATAATTTTAATTGGACGAATTCACCCAAAAATAACCCATAATAATAAAAAACATCAGTTAACCATGCAATTAAAAGGACAAAATTAAGATTTATTTTTTCTCTTTCCTTTTGAACTTTAAGTTATATTTTTATTTCTTTGAAATCTATGTTCTCTACTGGCACGAAAAGGAAACGTGCGAGAGAGGGTGATAGCTCGTACCAGATCATGTCTTGTCGTGTGCTAAGGCGAGGCTCATCATCATCATCCATTCGCCGATCTCAACACCAATTCGTGGCCCCAAATCGCGTGCGTTATCCTCTATTTAGCTCATCGCACCGGGCTCCCGCAAAGGCGGAGAGGACAGGGAGAGTGAGCGAGAGACGATGGCGTCGATCACGGGGATGTTGGCGTACGCCGTTCCCATGTCGTGTACCAGCAGCAGCAGACCCAGGGCTTCGTCTCCCGCGTCGCCGGGCGGCGGCGGCGGGGGATGGATGGGAGTGGAGTGCTCGTCGCGGCCGCAGAAGAAGGCGACGGCGCACCACATGAAGACGAGGCCTAAGAAGACGCAGCCTTGGGACGTCAAGCGCAAGGGCCCGACCGCGTACCCACCTCTCCCCGTCCTCCCTCCGGATTGGACCCTCGTCCCCGAGCAGGAGCAGGCGGCGGCGAAGGAGGTGGAAGAAGCTCCGGCCACCGCCGCAGAGTGATGAGGAACCACTGCACCATCATGGCTTTCTCTTTTCCGTGCTAGCATTTCCTTTCGTCGAGTTTACGGTTTGCGTGCCAACTGTTTGATGTTTTGCCATTTACTATGTTCAGCCACAAGGTTTACAAAAAGGCATTCAGACAACAAATTTATTGGTCATCACAAAGCCACTGCATAGTGTTGGGAAATTGGGATTACATGGATCATGTTACCATTGAATGGAACCATCAGCCATCTCACTAGCAAATGAGCAAGCAAAAAAAGAAATTAAGGGGTGGAATGCGTTTGATAAACAAACCAGCATGCAGTGACATCAGTGATCAGCACTTTTTTTTGTCTGCGTAATGCAACCATCCAGATTCATAATCCGGTCATCAGAGGCTCTTTTAGATTGTGAATCTTGGTGGCATTTGGATCATCATCATCATCATATTCACCAGCATTTCATTGACAAGCAAGCAGCAGTCACAAGCCATATATATATATATATATATATGGTCTGGTCAGTTGCTGCTGCTTAGTCGTTTTTTGTACTTGCTACGAGCCATGCTCGCAAGGAAGTCGATAAATATGTGATCATATCCTGGCATTTTGCTGTAACCTGCAAAGATTTCCAAAATGCACAATTAGTAAGAAGAGTAGGTTTGGAGTCAAAATGTGGCAGGATAGGTTTGCAAGAAGATCTAAACTTTCCTAGTTATAAGAATACAGTGTCCCATTTATTGGAGTTTAATATCATACGAAACAGAACGATGCAGCAGCTATGAAGTAACCCTCCGAAGGACCTTCGTCGACAAGGAGTACACAAGGAAGAGGGAATGACAAACTTATAATGCTCATAAGCCCCAACATTTAGTTTAGTTGAGAAGATAAACCAATCCATTAGGGTGCAAATCAAATCAAATGGATTGTTATTTGAAAGGCTACCAACTTTGATAATAAATAGATTCACTATGCACTTATCAAACAAGGAAAGCTTATCTCAGCTGTTTCCAACCAAACTCATCGACTCAGCGTTTTCTGATAACTTTCAGCAAAAACAAACAAATAAAAGATATTTTGCATTGTTTACAATTCTAATTACACAGACTAAGATCTTATTATTTTGGATTTTAATTCACAAGTACTTCTGGTGTTGGATTTAAATAAATTTAATAAGACATACTTTCATACGGTTAGCTTTAATAAGTGCACCTAACTCACCAACTAACCATTGCTTGCATTCATGGCAAACATGAAAGTTCAGAAATTATAATTTATGGTCTGTTGTCATTTCTTCTGACAGGACTGGTGATGGAGATATTCTTCTTGTTTCTCTCTCTTTCTTAATCTTCAATACTTGACAGTTTAACAGGAAATCAAACAACCAAAATAATAGTAGACAATACCAAGGTTTAAGATTATTCACTCCTCAAAACCAAATTTTCCTGAATGCTATATCAATTGCTCTAGATGTTCATGTGTGATTCTCATTCATGCATTACATAGAGATGTACACCCACAAAATACCAACTATTCTTGGTCTATTTCTTTTTCTTTTTTATCATTCCAAATGTTCCGTAAGGAATCTGAATTTTCCAATTAAACATAGAAACACCTCAAAAGAGAAAATATAACAAAACCAATGTATGATGAAAAGAAAAAAAAAAAAAAAGGTGGTCATCAGCTTGAAAATAGTGTGAATAAATAAGCTCCACTTTCAAAAAAAAAAACTGCACTTGCCTGGAAAATAGTTGATATCGATGACATAAAACCCGTCCCTTGTCCCATGCTCTCTTATTATGTCTATGTTGAATAATCGAAGACCCTAATGTGACACAAAGGTGAGAACAAAAAAACTTTAAAAACCTACAACTATTTGGATAATGCACATATATAAGAAACCATCTCACCAGACGACGACGGAGCTCCCTAGCAAGCTTCTCAAGCAATGGCCTTGGAGGAAGCTCTATAGAAGGACAATATCGAAAGAACTCACACTTCACATAATACAACATACTTATTGTCAGTTATGAAGAAACCAAAGGCCACATATGTTCCAAAGACTTTACCAGCAATGCTAGGGTCCAAGTCGGCATCATCTGCGGATGCTGCTGCACAAGAAACCCTGGGAAACTGAAAGACACCGGTACTGCTTAATAGTTCGCGCTTACTGACATCAGGGAGGGAAAATCGGCGAACAACCTTTATTGCCTCTCCAACAATATAGACCTTGAAGAGAACACCACCTGTACAAGGGTGAGAAAATACATTTACACAGTACATGGCATAACCTGGAAGATGGCAATCAAGAACATGCTACTACCATGATTAATGAATTCTTGAAGAACAAAGGGAGGATCAAGCTTTGACAAGGAGAATTCGTCATAGGCAAGTGATAATTCGTGTGACTTTGCACTTCCATCAACCACCAATGGTTTGGCGACTGCAAATAGGAGAGAAAAAGAATCAACAAGATCACAGAGAATATTTCCATGCTTGAATTACCAGCTAGAAATGTAGCTCACATCCTTACTCATCTCTACTATAGTACATACAATAAACAGTGAATTAGATTGTAGACCACATTTATCTATGGCTTAGTAAGTAAAAGGACATCAAAATCAAATGTTTACTAGCCTGACTAAACAGGTGGTGCAACATACATGTGACTTAAGGGTGCAACGGCAAACTAACCCAAACATGGCAAGGGAACAGGAGCCTCTAGGAACACATGCCTCCCCTGTATTCACATTGACCTATTTCATAAGAACAATTTGTCATTGGGAGTACATACTACATGAGTTTCCCCATTGGACCGGGAACATACATGGGCTTTTTGAGTGCAACCTGTCATACACATGGACCTCGCTCTTAAATAAAATTTCTCATTTCTTTCATAACACAAGATATTCTTTCATACCACAAGATATTCTTTCATCAATTTAGATCAAATTTGTGACCTCATATAAGACAAAATGCGGCAGATCATTAAGCGTATGAGTAATTCAACAGTTAGTCATCAGAATTTTATTCCAAAAATTGATAATTTTATGATTTTAATCAAATATAAAAGTTATCATCATTATACAAAACATATTTGAGCAATCTAAAACATATAATATGTATGCAATGGATATATTTAGGCTGAGAATATAAAACATGAGAAATATACTTCTCAAATATGTCTGAATATTAGTTACTATTATAAGAGTTGAGATACATCAAAATACTGTTTTCTAAGAAAAAGTAAGAAATTCTATCACATGTATCTATTACCGTTACTACTACAAGAGTTGAGATACATCAAACTATTACTTGAGCACTTGTTGTAATATGTAACAAGAACACCAAGATGCAAATAATAGTGATGCTCATAACAAATTGGGCGCCGTTGTGTCTTACCCAATGGTAGAGCAAGTCCAGCTCTGCTAACTGCATCCGGGATCGATGATGAATCTTTGGTGATAACTAGTTGCCTGGGAGTGCCAACTCTGCCTGGAAATTGGAAATGATAGTTATGAGTCAATTAGATAGTTTTAGATAGACTGGAACTACGACAAATTTCTATTCCTGCTCAAGAAAATTGCATCAGAATATTATAAAATTTCAGTGAAACCTTTTAAGAAATAGAATATCTAAATTAGGAAATCATTTTTCAATATTATGAGAAAGATTTAATGTGACTGATGGTCAATACCTAGCAATCATCATTAAAATTAATAAAGAAACTAAACTAAATGTCCAACTACAAAATGAACATAAAGATGGTCGTATTATTACCTAATGTAGATATATGGTAAGTTCAACTTGATAAAAAGGAAAGCAAGAAACAGAAAAGACATCTGACCAAGCACCAAACCCATTTGACATACTACATATTGAAGCAAACTTTGGTTTAGCTTACCATAGCAGTTTGATAAATTCAAATCAGCTACATCCTGAAGCATCGATTGGCGATTGTACAAACGTTGTATGGCAGCTGGTGGGTCAAGGACAGTAACTTCCGGATGATTTTCCATATAATCCTTCAAAGAATGACAAACAAAACGAGTAAAGATATGAAAAATTAAAAGGCGTGGGTAGTGCAAATTCAATTTGCAAATCTCATATCTATTTCATTTACAATACACAAAAAAAAAAAGAATTTCATACATACATTTACATTCACACTTAAAACCAAAAATGGAGGATGAGTGAAAGACTTAAAAACTAACCAAAAGAAGGTATTCAACTATAATACTACTTCAAGCATACTTCAAATATACTTAAAGCATGTAACAAGAAACCTTGGTATATACCACCTGTATTGGTCCCTTGTCAGACCAGTACATACCGCCCATACCAGGCGGCATGCAGTGATAGGACGAACCTTGATTTTATATAGTAGTACTATAATGTCACATAACTATATTGATGGTAAATTTGTTACTACCTCTTATTCTGAACTTGTATTGTTAATTGACCATGTAACAAGTCAAGAATAAAGTAAATTATGTGGATATATGTTAGAAATTTATTAAAAAAATATCAAGCGTACTATGTGGAATTAAACTACTTATATTATAAGCTATAATTTGGTGCAAAGCTCATGTGGAATTTTTTTTTGTTGAATCATGTGGAATTAAAAAAATATCAAGTAAATCATTTTTTGTGCAAAGCTATTTTTTTTTTAATCATTTTTTTTGTTGAATCATTTTTTGGAATTCATCCAAAGACTTGTATCAATTGTGATTTTATATACTGTAAAAATTACTTGCATTTAATTAATAATTTCATATACTGTAAAAATCATATCATGTAGGTTCGATTTTTATTTGGATGAAACTTTATTGTTTTCTGATAAATTTAATTGTATTACAGCTGTAGTATCTGAGTACACTGAAAATTATATGATGATATTTATTTGTTCACAATGCTAAGTCTATAAAATTTAAGTATAAATATTATAAAACATATTAATCAAATATTATATATATTTAAAAATACACATGCCCTCATCGTGTCCGTGTCCATGCTTATTAGATTCAAGCATACTTCAAATATGCTTAAAGCATGTAATGGGTAAGCTTTTATCAGACCTTTTCTTAGTCAAAGGTAGCCATGTAATTCAATTGTAAAATATTCAAGTAGTTTAGTTTACAATAGAGGTTCACAAAACATATTTGTAAAAGAAGATCTAGAATCTGCTAAAAGATAAATTATATAAATTAAATAATAGAAGAATATGGAGAGGTCATATACCTAGAAGAACTAAAAGCACACGAACTACATCAAAAAGAATCTGATGAAGCTAATGCCACAAGGATCCAGTGTACCAAAACCAAAATCTAGTGCAGCTAATTCTATAAACACCTGGAGTTACATGGCAACCGTATGAGACTTAGCAGACAATATGAATTAAAATCCTGACATACAGGAAATCTTGCAGCTTCAAGTTTTAACTACCTAACAATCAACCATGACAAGAAAAAATGCATGCATTCTATTTAGGTCATTACACATAAAGATAAGCTTTTAACTTTACCATGCTTTTTTGTTTACCACTTGGTATTACTTCAGACTTGATCATCATTCAAATGTACCATTCAGAACTTCTATGATGCATGAATTACGTTAGGGTGCAATTATGTACTGTTCATACAGCAGAGTCATTGATATCAAGAGATAATATTGAGCCTACAGAAGGTGAGATACTTCTATGATCCTTCAATTTACTAACCTCCAGAACTTGTTGCCACTCTTTTCCAGTCAACTGAGAGAGAAAAAAAGCAAAGATAAAGAGCTTATCAGTCTCGATACGTTTAAAATCAATCCATAATAGTTGGATTAATGGGTCTTCCTCCCATAATTACAGAAAGCACCATTGAGCTCTAACAGGACAATGGCAAGCAGTTTGATAGTTATTTCCATGGCAAGAATTACTGGTCTATCTATGAAAATCAACATCAATCATCCTTAAACTAGTAATCCTGTGTAATCCATCAAAAGAACTTCAAGCGTTAAAGGTGACCAGCTGACCTTGTGTAGAATAATGTCAAAAGGACCTTGATCTAGAAGAAGCTGGCTCTGGTCAATGGCGACAAACACAATTCCTTTCTTCCTGCACCCCATAGTACAAACTCTAATCAATTAAGTTCACGGAATCAAATACTAGGCATGTCTCATGATATTTAAGTCATTAAAATGGCAAACCAATTTCCCTAAGATAAATAAGATGAATAGACATAGAATATCAGTAGCAATAGAAAATTCTTTAGCATATATGTGAAAACCCCATGTGCATGCTTTCCTTGTCAAGAAAAAGGAGTTACTCTTCTCCTAATATAAAATCTAATGGTCATTGTCAGTCAACATCGTCTAAAACAATCAAACCACAACAGTTACCAAGATATTAGATGGTTACTTGATCAAATGTGGCTTGGACCTCAAAATGAAGTGGGCAATAGCAAAATTTAGATCAGAATGGTAATTTAGAAGATAAAAACATTGATTTGACACTCGAGAAACTGTTGATAGAAAGGAAAACAGAAAATGAACCAAAGATTCAGCAAGAAAAAAAAATAGTAGTAATATGCGGGATTAGAAGAATAATCATGGAAATCTACAACTGACTTTACAGTAGACATTCTAAAAAAGGAAGTAAATTATATACGGAATACATTCATCTAATACTGTTCACAATAGCATTCAAATAAGCATACTATCCATCATAGATGAGATTTTTTTTCTGCAAAGTCAATAATTTGCATAAATGCCATCATCCCATATTTTCAACAGCAATAACCAACAAAAGAACAATGAGACCAAATTAAAAAGGTTTATACAAGAAAAAGCAGTAGTCGATCCCAGAGATTTAGGTTTAAATATGTTGATTGTTTCTTGTTATTAGGTTCAAGAAAAATAGCACTAGATAATCTGAAACCTTTCTTATGGTTTCCCCCCAATATTTCCTCAGTGTTCTACTATTATACTTGTCATGTCTAACCTGTGTTGGGACATCTCATATCACAAGCATATTTAAAATTCTTCTTCAAGTTTCATTAATAAATTTAGTTTCATGTAACAAATAAATGAATAAAAGTCAATAAATAGCTAGTTTCTGGCAAAGCAGATTGTTAAGGATAAACCTTGATACATGAAAACCTGTAAAGTCAATGTCAGCAGACTATACCCTTTAAAACCAAGAGCTAATAGAAACAGGAGAGGGTTGGCAGCATAGCCACAACAGACAAATGTCAACCATGACGATATGACATGCTAAGGATCCAAGACTCCTATAATGAATTATTATAGTTTTGACCATTTCAGGAGACTGAGCCGTACAAGGAGCAGAATTTCTGATCTAAACAACTGAATATTCTAGAAAAAGGACCATCCCCATAAAAACCAACTGGCGAATCAATACCACTGTTTTGCTGGTGTATAACTTCTTCCAGGAGAAATAAAGCGAAACTACTGCCTCTACAAGGTTTAAACACTCAGAAACCAGCATTAAAACGTATTTCCCACAGTGTGTCGCATAATGGTCGGCTAGGAACCCAAAAATTAATCCACAATTTTGTGGATCTCTTCGTAAGTCATAAGTAATGACTGCGCTTGGGTTTTCTCCATATCAAGCTTCATCAAAATCGACATATCTCACGATAGCAAGTGAGGCACGGAAAAAAGGTTAAAAGACACTAAAAAGGCATTCATTCGCACGAAGGAAAATAATACTTAACTCTTAAAAGTCTCTCCTTTTTCTTTTTGCCTAGAAACCATTAAAGATTCCCCTCTGACACTCAATCTACTGACGATCAAAAGGTGAAAGATCAAAGAAAAGTGGGAGAGAAGAGCAATTTAGTGGTATCACAAGAACATCTGGGAACAAGGTTTATCCCCAAAAAATCAAACATCCGATGGCCGAGAAAAGACAGAAAATTCTATCAAACATGGGGTCCTTGTTCCCTGTTCCTCTCTTTTCAGGGAGAGACTTACCTGGCCAATGCTTCCAGTTTCGGCTGGAAGAAACTCTTGACCTTCTTCGACGTCAGAGCATACCCCACGACGAGCGTCTGCTGCGGCGGAGGCGGAAGCGACATCGGCGGCACCCCCTCGTTCTCCTTATCCTCCTCATTCCGAACGTAGGAGATCTCCCCGATCAACCTCATGGCCACCCTCCTTCTCACCCTTCTTGCCCTCCCCGAACCAACCCCTAAACAACCCACGAGGGATCCACAAGAAACCACGGAACCCTACAAGGAGCCCTCCGTCGTCCTCGATCGGCCGGCGTAAAGAACACGCGCGACGGCTTCGATCCCGGGAGGCGAGGAGAAGGCCGAGATGCCACCCAGAGACCCGAGACGAGCGAGAGTGGGAGGCGTCGAAAGGAAGCGGGGTATTTGTAGCGGAGCTTCGGAGGACGATTCCATCAGGAGCTGCAATGACGGAATTGGGCGCCCAAGATGCTGTTAATCACTCGATTGCCATGGTGCCGACACACCAGGTTGGAATACACAGGGCGCGGTGGAGACGGCTTGACCAATGCATGTGATTCCCACGTGACTACATAGATCGGGTCGGGTTTGGTTAAAATGGGTCTGGAGATTAAGCCGAATTGATTTGAGCTCGAGTCTCCCACATTTAAATCGGTGGATGGTGGACAGATGACGCGTTATTATTTCTTTAGGTAGCTGTGCAATTAATCTCCCGATAGATAAAGACATTATTATTAGTACAGATGTAGATTTGGTACGAATTTAGTGGCCATTACCTGAATCGGAAACAGCACGTATGATAACGTTAGGGGGGAACATGTGAAAAAAGGGAAACAACCATGGGTTGTTCTTCTTGTAGTGCAACCCAAATGGGAAAAGGGATTCATCTATCCTCAGAGACATTTAGTGGTCGATTAATGTCACACGATCGATCCTCTTTAAAAGAATGAAATTTCCTTTAGATAGAAGATATGTTCAAGACAGCTTAACCTCGTTGGCACAAGACCGATATACACACAATCGAAATCCAAATAAAAGCAACAAAAAGTGGTTCGTATGAATGCTTCTCCTCCCTACTCGGCAGTTGGTTGGACCGAATCTGCAACACGTAGTGAAATGAGCAACTCAAGCCACGAATCGAGGGAGGTTTGCGTACAAGCAAGATCCTTATCGTTTTAGCTTGTGGCATTAATCATTACGCGATTAAATTTCTTTTTTCAGTGAGTCCATGTCGTTCCTTATGATTCGTGAAGAACGATTGATGAGTGGGACTGAGATCGATGCCAGCTCCCTCTGCGTGCCACATCATGGCTTATCATTATTGGAGGTTACGTTGAAATGGATGGAGCCGCGCCATGGGTTTGATGAGAGCGGGGAAGGAGGAGGGGCAGTCCTGCAATATCTGAAGCGACGCGTGGCGGCGATGCATGGGATCCAGCTGCATCGTTTACGTAGCCGTCTTCTCAACGTCCTGTTGTCATATCTTATTACAAGAGATTGCGCTCGGTGCTCGATACTTAAGTCGGATCCTCAACTTTGACACGATCGGTTTCATTGACACGTAACACAAATTGGACTTTCTTGAGTTATCCGCGTATGGGTGATGTTATCTATATCGTTTCTATTAGAATCATCATCATATGGGTCGCTCATCTGAACTAGTTCATCCTCCGGAACTCGTAGCAATCGAGGGTCTATCTGTCTCAAGAACGAAAAGATGACGTTGACTCAGAAATCATCGTCATCTTTTTACGCTCCTGAAAAGAAGATCAAAGTGTACCTGTTCTTAATATATAATCGAGAAGAATCGAAATGTTAAAAGAACTTAATATTTAGAGTAAGAATAAAAAAAAAAGTAAAAACCTAAATACATAAAAGGTTAGTAAGGAAAAACCTTACTATATGGTGGAATCACAACCTGTAATCAAAAAATGGTTACAGGTTAGAATTTTCTTGAATTATTAAATCCATTTGACCTGTCTTTGTAACATGTAAAAAGAAAAAAAATTAAAAACAAACGGAACCAAGGTTTGCGATCTTGTTGAGGATAAGATCCACGGGATTGTCATTAATGTCTGGTGATTCAACCAGAAACCCACAAGCAATCTTTTAATGTTTGCTCTGCTGCCTAGCTAGTAATGGACGTATTCCACCTGCTACCTCAATAGAAAATAGCTCCTGAGACCGTCCATGGAATGACGTAATGTGACGAGGAGAGAGAGGTTTCTCTCCTTGGATTACTACTGCCATCAACAACGACCATGAAGGAAAATATTATCGACCGACAAGACCAATATTCAGAGCACACAGGAAGAGAAAACTACGGCAGCCACAAGTATCCCTATCTTTGAACCTTCCATCCATACCTTCGCCAACTTAGAAAAGTTGCACTACAAAGCAACTCCCTTCACTAACATATAAAAGGTCGCAAATTTCCACCCCACATGAATATTTCCGACGAAGATGGATCGTAACATTAAAATCCATACAGTGGCGCACAAATGCATACTTCGATCTACAAACTCACACGTGGTTGGCCACAATTTGGGTGTGCGAAAGGCATGTGGCACGTTTGGCTGCGGCATTTCCACAAGAATCAGCCATCAACTTGCTTTCGAGGCCAATCTCATCGCATCCAGTGATCATGACATGCCCCTGACAAGCGGATGGCTGCTACCTTCACATGGAGATAGTTTTAGAGAGCAAGTTTCAACTAAGCGTATGAGATTCCTTTTGTTTGGCCAGGAAGGTACCAAAAAAAGAGGAGTTTGTTTGTCTTCTCTCCACATGTCTGTGGTGCATATGGTAATAAAAAGGTTGGGATGTCCAGCAATCCTACTCGATGCCGTTTTATCTAATAGCTTAAAAAATGCTACATCAACACTCATACGAGTGTTATCCCGACTTTTAATATCTCGATCCTTATATTTTTAAAAATTATATTAGGATTCTTATATTTACGAAAGTAAAATATTTAATTATATTTCTTCTCACACCATCAACTCTGTTGATAAAAATACCATATATGCTGTCACGTGTAGAAAATGACACTAAAACAAGGTTAAAAAGATAATTTCATAGTGCTATTCTCATCATCCAAAGGAAAAAAATTAAGAGAGAGAGAGAGAGGAGGGTTTTGTTAGGAAATGTAAGATATACAATTCAATTGCTCTATCTTTTCTCTTTGTATCTTAGAGGTTTTGTTAAAAAATGAAACACTCCGATAGAAATGATCTCTCTCTCTTGTGATCATGCCTCCTCGTTCATCAACTATTGCAAAACTTGGTTTCTCAACTATTGTTTTTACCGAAGTTATAGAAATAAAAATTAATATCGATGAGAATAGTATTATAAAATTATCCTTTTAACCATGTTTTAATGTTATTTTTCATACATGACAATATATGTGATATTTTCGTTAACAGAGTCGACAACATAAAGATAAACGAGATTAAATATTTCATTTTCGTAAGTATAAAGATCCCAATATAACTTTTGAAAATATACGGATCCGAATGTTAAAGGTAACAAACTAAACGGGTAATCTGTAATTAGCCTTATATACTTTGACTAAACTCGAGACTTATTCCTAGTTTAGACTATGATAGACAGGATAGGGTTGCTGTTTTGAGATTAGTTCTAGTCCACTTTAATATATCTAGAAGTATGTTGACCTTTCACGACTCCACGTCGGTAGGAGTATAATGCACTATGCATTTCTTAGAACACAAGACTGGAACCTTTCTTAGCCTTTATGGATTCTTCGTTAGGGGTTAGGTTCTTCGCTTCCAAGGCCATGGTCCTTACGTTCTAAGAATAAGGGATGTGATCTGGATTCCTTGCACGCAGGCCAAGCATCCACTAACTAGTCCATGCATGGTGATATCAGGGGTTCCATTTGTGGATTCCCTTCAATCCATCTATTGGTAAACGGATGCTTCCACCACCACACCGCAGAACCAGAGAGACTTGCAGCATCTTCAACTTAAAGAAAGCAAGAATGGAATACTGATTCTAGGGGATCAAGTTCCGGATTTGGGAATTCCATAAGTAGTCCATACCTGAGCTTCTCACAAGTAACATTGCCGACGAACTTGAATGTGGCACTTCCTATGTCGTGGAATCAATCCAATTCGTTGGTTCCTCCTTCTGGTGGACTTCAAATCTTTGATACGGCCACACTGAAAGACACCTACACCACTGACAGAAAATAGCATGTCAAAGGTTCCAAAGCAAGTAGTAGTACGATAAATTTGGGTCGTCATTTGGGCTCGGATACATTGGCCCAAAATGATCTAAGCCTGCCATCCAATCTAAGTTTCAGCCCAAACGCTCTCCACCCCTCTCTCATTTGGGCTCATCCGGCCCGCGTTTCGTAACGTAATTCCTGAAATAGGTCGAGACGTGAAGCAAATCGTCCGCATCCACCTCGTTTCCCGCCGTCCCCCTCACCGCTGCGGTCACTACCACCACCGGCTGTGGTCTCACCTCGCCCACCCTAAAATCGCAGAGATCCGGCTTCTCGCCGGCGCTCCGCCTCCGTAAGCCAGCCATGCCGCCTCTCACGCCGGCCTTCTCGAGCCCGATCTATTACGCTCACTTCGTTTCTTGATTTCGAGGCGGAGGAAGCGACGGCCTGCCGATTCGCACGCCGAACCCCGACACCCACACGCCCTCCGCCTGGAGCCAGACTCCATCGATCTTTCGACCCAAAACCCATAGTTCCATTGCAGGAGAAAGAACTAGAAATCTTTTAGGGTTTGCTTACCGAAATCGCCTGGGAAGGGGCCGGACGTCGGGCTTCCGAGTAAATTAGAGCGTTCGAAACTCCACCACGAGCAATTTTAGGAATCCCCACCAGCAACAGAGGGCGAGGCGCCATCGATCGCCGAAGGAATTCGTAGAACCGAAAGAAAGGGGTCGGAGCAGAGACGAGGGAGAAGTCGAAGAGGGTGGTTTTATAGGCGGCAGATCCCTGGGTCCCATAGATGACGTGGCGAAATCCAACCAATGAGAGGCGAGGGAATGATGCGAGCCGTTCGCTTTTATGAGTAGTGACGGGACCAGCGTTACGGGTCGATCAAAGCCGTTCGCTTTTAGATGGATGGTGAGGATGAGATCACTTTATTCGGGTGCGGGTTTGGAACCCTGAAATAAGATCCGATAACCTATTTCTTGTAGGATTTAGAAGCGTTGCGTCCGAATTCTGATGCGGTGGCATCGCCGAGAGGCTCAAACCTAAATGGAAGCTCTCGTGCATGATTGGCAGATTGCTTGCAAGAGCACAGCATGTTCGGTGTCCAATTCCACAAGATGAGCACAAAAGAATAGAAATTACTCATAAGAGATCCTCGAGAAGGAGATAGACAACATCTTTTGCTAGAGTCGTCGGGCTTTGTAAGGATTAGACATCGAATGGAAACTGAGAAGCAGGTTTTGAACTGTCGAAATCCTCAGAGAAGAGGAAGAAACAGAGGTTTTATGAGAGTCAAACCTCCCTCCTACTACAAGTCCTCAAAAGAACATGCAACTGTGTCACTCTTCTGCTCCAAAAACATGATCGAGTAGCTCAACCATGCAAAAAATCTAAGAGAGAAGAGCAATGAACCTCCAGATCGGACAACACCATGCAGCAAAAACTAGTGAAACTTGTCTCGAGGAGGAGGAGATCTTGATTAGCTTCAACGCACCGACCGTTGTCTGAAAGCGGAGTTCAGCTTCTTCACCACCTCTTTGGCCGTCACGCAGAACTCCTCTTCCATCTGCACAAGAAGATGATAACAAGTTCGTTCATGTTGTTCGTCCGCACGACCGTGGTGGGTAGGAGAAGGGCGGTGGATCTTGCCTGGGTCATGACGGTGATGTCGAGAGAAGCAGCGGCGAAAGGTATGACGCTGGTGTTCCCAACGGAAAGGTGGAGCTTCTCGATCTCGGAGAGAGCTTTCACCAGCACGCCCTTGCGGTTCTCGCAGTGGATCTTGATGAGGACAGCCTTGTCGCACACTCTGGCCTCGATCTGGGGAGCAGGCCCGCCGCATGGGTGTTCGTCGGAGGAGCTGTCGTCATCGTCGGCGCAGAGCCGAGACTTCTTGACGAGCACCGCCTTCTCCGCCTGCCTCTTCGCAACTTGATCTTCCAGAGACTTGACCTGCTCTTCGAGTCGCTTCAGGTACTCGATGGCGTCCCCGAGAACGGAGGCCTTGTCCATCTTCCAAGGAGTAGAAATTTGGAGGTCGATCAAACGTGTCGAGCGTTGGCGGAGCAGAAAGGAGGAGCCGATCCAAGAACGTACCTTCTTTAGACCAGGAACTACTGCGGAGAGTGCGATGAATCTCTGGCTAAGCTTCTCTCTGCGTTTCCTCTCGGCCACGACGTGTTCCGGGTTATGAGAGGCCGTCCTCGCCGCCATGTTTGCCCTCTTGGAACCCTGCCCCGACATGGCGTCGTAGTCCCTCTTCGAGCCACCGGGGATCGGCACAGCCATCTCTTCTTTCGGCCTCATCGTCGGAACATAGAGAGCGGAGTGACAGATGGGTGATTCCGGCCTGCCAAACGATAGAATTCTTGGCCACGAGGCGTCGGTCTTGGTGGCCTTCTTGGGAAACGAAGCATGGCTTTCAGAGGAGGGAGACGGTTCTACATCTCGCAGGAGGCCCACTCCCAGTTGGTCTGCGCCGAGCTGATCCAGAGCAGTCCATTCCCACTGATCAAAGAAACTCTGCTCCATTCCCTGCGGATTCCAAAGACCGACTGCATCATTCAGGAAATCATCTCAGAAATGCTTAACCGAAGAACCTGATCCCGGCCGCCGCTTACCATGTCGGAGTAGCACGGAGATGCCGATGCCTCCATCAAGAGAGATACTTTTCCTGCAACGAAGAAGGAGAAGCGAACCTCTTCCCCTTTTTATGTTTATGGTGTTCGGTCGAAGGCTGCTTCTGCCGTTGGTCTGAACGTTCTTACTGCCTCCATGACCGACGCTTTGGCTGCTTCTTTCTATGCGAAGACTATTTGCTTATCCTGCCGTGTCCCATTGCCTGTGGTGTCAGCAACTTCATATGTAGCTCGTCAACAGCTTTTATTTATGGCTGAATTGATGGCCAAGAAATAATTGGTATCTCAGTAGTCCCCATAGTATTTTATAATGCTTCCCCCATCTGTAGCAACTCAGCCACGAGGAGATATAAATAGAGAGAGAAAGAGAGAGAGAGAGTAGAAACAAAAGTACTGTTGCTTGCTGGGGAAGAAGATGGAGTCGAGGCAAAGCGTACACACGGAAGAACGCGTTAGAGGAGGCCTTTGGAGTGACGCGACATGTGTCCCCTCGCCATTGCAGTGCATTTGACCACGTGGCACATTGACTGACTGCCTGAAGTCAATCCGCCGCGACCGTGTCGGCTACGTGTTTCCTCTTCGTTCAGACTCTTCCAAACCAAATTCCATGTCTCATCTACCTTCAGAGCGTCCATTTGGTGAATCTTGTTCGTCTTATTCCGAAGAACACGCACAACAACGTCAGCACTGATAGCCAATCAGAAGCACAATCTCGTAAACAAATTAATGGAAGATACTGCAACTCCAGCAATCTCGGATCTGCCTCACATTCTTTTTCTCCGAGGCCATATGCTGATCATCTTGCCGTTGTCTCCGGCCTGGTCCTCGATCTATCCATGGATCACTACATCGCCTCCAATCTTACAGCAACGGGAAACGGGGAACCTGGGCATCTTCGTACGTGCATTCTCTGTTAATTAATAGAAATCGTAGTGATTTCTATTAGAACATTTAGGTCTAATTTCATTTTGAGAAATCATTGATGACTATCTTATATTTAAAAAAATTATATTAAATTTTTTATAATTATAAAAATTAATATTTTTATAATTATGAAAGTGAAACATCTAACTCCATTTATCCGAACGTTATTCGTATTATCGACGACACAAAAAACGATAGGACAATATGTGTATATATATATTCTTGTTTGGATATATCATATTTATCATTATATTTTTTTGAAAAAAAATGGTTTTAATGCATATTAAAAATAGTTATTGATAATAATAAATAAATAAAATAAAAAAAAATAAAAAAAAAATAAAGTTGAGCTTTTGAAGGTTTACCAGCAGGAGCCAAACCCTCAACTGTTCATATCAATCAATGAAGCATGGGTCAATAATGTAGTGACATGTCATGTTGTGGCAACATGATCGAGCACAAATCCATCTCAGATCCACACATGGGATAAGCGCTCCACCCGGTGACCGAGACAGCGCATCCGACCATCCCCCCATATCCACTATAATTATCTTAAGAACGAACCCTTTAAAAATCAAACTTGGGATTCAATATTTCATATCTCCACACCCTATCATCTATCCAAGAATCCAAGAGATAAGCTTTGCCCACCACAAATGAAGCTGAGGTTATCTGCTGGTCTTCGGAAGGATAGACATGTAAAACTCCAAAGCAAAGCAAAGCAAATCTCCATCTTTCCTTTTCGTTTAGACTGATAACAACATTTAGCAAATGATTTCTCAATTAGTAGCATATAAAATTATATGATGACAACAAACACGAACTTTGTTAGCAACCTAATTAAGATTCCCTTGGGACTAATTCTCATACTGTTACATCAATGGACTGAGGATGGAGATTGTTGCATTACAATGTCAAGCCATTTAGATGCATTTGTTCCCTCAAGTACACCATCAAGAAGGCTGAGGATGATAAGGCCAAGAATAATGATGATAATAATAATAACAGCAACAGTTGATCTGCATCAACTGTACTTGCATGCCACAGCTCATCCAACCATGGTCACCACTGTTTCCCTTGTCCCTAGTGATACTGGAAGTCCTGCTGTAATGAATTATAATAGATGGAAGCCAAATAATTTTTAGGTCAAATGAGCCATTCATAAACTGCAAATCGATTGGAGACTGCGGCGAAGCATGGTTATCGGAGAAGCAGGAGATGTTGAACTGCTAGACCAGTAGTCCACAAACTTTGTTGAGGTTAAAAAGATGACAGAAATCGGTGATAGGAACCCTAAAGCTCGAACCTGCACCATAAGTTGTCCGCTTCAGGTCTACGATGCTACTGGACAAGAGCTTGTCCCGGGGATGAAAAGCCTGTATGACAGATATTTTGTTGCATTACATGACAAAGAAACTAATCACAAACTCCAGCCCTTCAACTAAACCATAATAAAGATTGCATGCAGGATTGGATTTGTCCACACCACTAGTTAGTAAGTTGTAAGAAGAAATACCAGTCTTCCGGCTGATCTTACTTCTTCTGAAACATATTTTCACTGTCTTATTGTCATCAATTACCCCAGAAGCAATCATGTTTTGAGATGGGTGGCATGATACTAGTGAACTTCCAGTTTCTGCACAAGATTTCTTGTTTGGAGTTCCCAGTGGTACACAGACTTGTCTTCTGAACCACTGATAATTTACTTCCGATATCTGGGCAGAACTGTAGCTGGAAAGAACTTTGAGAGAACTTCCGATATATGCGTATTCAAGAACATACCTGTTGAAAAATTCTGCAGCCTCTGAAAGGTCAGATATTATTTTAGAGAGTAGTGTTGAAACAGAAGGAATGCATCTTCTTGAGTTATAAAAACAGAATGGCAAGGAATCCTTCATAATGTTTTGAACACTGGTCATGGAAAGTCTGAAGAAATCAAATGCATTTTGAACGTAGCATAACAACAAGTGGTTGGGTATATTGACATCAAGAAACACACAAACACATGGAGACGCCCGAAAATATACGATACAAGCATTCTTAATGCCCTTTTTATTCAATATTTAAACTTTCAGCACTGGGTTGACTCCTCTCCTCTGATCCGTAGATACATGGTAAAATTCGATTTTACCTAGTGGGGTATCAAGAGCATGATGAAACGCATACAAATTGTAGTAAAGCAAAATGAAGGTAACATTGTTCATCTTTATCACCGTCACTAAGGTTTAATGGAATCAATTTGGAATAGCTTTGCCTGGCAATATTGTTGCGAGTATGCCAAACCATCAACAGCTAAGTTCTACGAATTAGTGTTCAACAAGAAACACCTCACTGGAAAGCCAAATCATACAGCTTTTTCGTAATGACAATTAACAGAACAAAAAGCTCATCATTGAGCTACATTTGTTCGGGTGTTATATTCGGATTAATTATCACAATCTAGCTAATTTTAACCATCTTATGTACTTTGATAGGTAGAAGATAATTTAACCATCCATCCCAGATTATCCAACCCAAATCACTCTGAATTAATTAATTTATCATTCTTAATCCGATAGTGTTCAGCAAGTTAACCCTCTAACCACTTGATAATCCTCATTATACCTGAACCAAGAGACAGATCTAAAGTGTTCTTACATGATATGCTCATTAGATTAGTCTAAGTAGAAACATCACATAATTGTCACCAGTTCTTGGTATTCCTAAGAGGCAACTCATGTCCCACTCGCAAGAAAGTTGTGGTACTACATCTCCGAGATACGAACACCAGTTAGATCTTGGGCATCAATTACAGCAAAGAAAGACAAGAACACGGAGACGACAATACAGATCACGATAAAAACCATAGGGTGTCAAACCAAATCGTACATATATACATAGAAATTGGGGATCGAGCACCTGCGCGGTAGTTCGTCGTTGGCAGACGTCGAAAGAGGAGGAGATGATTCGACGGCAAGTGATTCTTCCACCTGCTTCTCGTCTTCTTCTAAATGCCATCGCTGCCGCAGAGACCCGATGCATTTGTCAATGATCGCGACGGTTCATCCTCCACTTCGCCGATCGTGGAGACGACGGGCACGAGCAAAAGAGGAAGCAGAGGCTGAGGAATCCCTATCCCACAGGTGAAGAATCAAACCCTACTAAATCTAAATGCCGCCTAAAACACAAGGAGGAAGAAAAATTATCAGAAATAAAAATATTATTATTATTATTTTTATCGTCAGAAATTAGGATCGATTAATGTATTTATTGCACAAATAATTAATGTTTATATGAATTTTCTATTAAAAATATATAATTAAATGACGTTTTATTTTTTAGTTTGACGTACATAAATGCAAACATCAGTCACATTAATAATTTAACGAAGCAAGTGCCGATGGTGACAAGAAAAGAACAGCACATGACATAAATGAACAGAAATCTATGCGACTCTGCCACTCGAACATTAATTATTTCTACGATAACCAGTCATATTATTTTGGAACTTATAATAAACAAATCAATAAATATATAACCATTGATTGATGTGCTGATATTTATGAGAAGAAATGCTATCTTATTTGACAGCTAAATCTTTGTCTGCTAATCACTTGTCACAGACTGACCGGAGATGCTCACATTTTTGGAGCAATCATTGATCTATTGTCGTTTTATCATTATTGACAAATCAACATCATCTTTATTAATGGAATGTCAAAAAAAAATCATATATTTGACGAATATTATTTTTTATTTTTATCCATAAAATAGTTTTTTTCTCAAGAAAAAAGAATAAAAAAAGTTTGAACAAATGGGGAAAAAAGAATAAAGAATACCGAAGCGTCGGTATTCGCACGGTAAAGATAGACAGAGACTGCTGCTGTGTGGTAAGTTCCAGAAGCCGGAGGAGGTTCTGCGGTAAGAACCGGAGAGCCGCGAGGCAACGGAACGCGCAAGAGCCAGTGAGGCGGCCGCACGTGACGTAACAAAAATGTTGCTTTGAAGGAAAAGGAATCTGAGTTGGGCCATATGCGACGCTGTCATGCGTCCCGAGGGCGACCTCACCGCGCGCTCCGCCCACCTGCCGCCATCATATCGCTCCTCGAGTAGCCCAAAAGAATCTCCGGTCGTCATCCCCCCGCTCACGTCTCTTCCCTGTTCACCTACGTGACCGGGGCTGGAAAAGGGACCCACTCACGATGCGGTTCCCGTGCAATCAGTGTCGCAGGTATGCGGGTCGAGTAGGACGTCGACGGTGGAGATGCCGTTCATCGTTGTCTGAACGCGGCACCTGCTCCGCCGAAAGCGATCGCCACCACCGCGTCTGCTGTCCCGCGGCGCACAAGAGGAGCAGCGGCTGAGAACAGGAACCTGGCGTGATCAGGGGTGTCCGACCCGGTTGCCTTGTGGTGCGCGCGTCACCATCTTAACGGATTCTATATAATCCGATCGACCCGCCCAAAAATCCGATAGACTTCGGGCGAGGCCATTACCCGACCCAAGGGATGGCCTTTGGCGAGGGCGGTGGGCTCCGCGGCCGTGGTGGGCGGTGCGGGACCAACCGTCACTGTAGGCGAGTACGAACAAGGAGAAGGACTGGAGGAGTGGGACCCGCATCTGTCCCCCACTCACTTTGCCTGCTTCTGAAGTCTATTACATACAGCGAGCCTCGCCAATCTCCTCGGATCGTTTTGTAGTCGGATGCTCTAATCCGTTTCGTTTTTTCCTTTTTCTATCCCGAGAGAGAGAGAGAGAGAGAGAGAGAGAGAGAGAGAAGGGAAAGGGAGGTGGTGGAAGCGGAGCGGAGGAGAGTGGAGGATGACGGTTCCGGGGCGCCATAGGCCATCGACGACGGCGATGGCGGCGGCGGCGGCAGAGGCGGGGGGAAGGGAGGCGGTGGCGCTGCCGCACAAGGTCTCGCGGCGGCAGCTGCTGCGGGTGGCGTCGGTGGCGTGCGGGGTGCAGTTCGGGTGGGCGCTCCAGCTGTCGCTGCTCACGCCGTACGTGCAGGAGCTGGGGATCCCCCACCAGTGGGCCAGTCTAGTGTGGCTCTGCGGGCCGCTCTCCGGCCTCATCGTCCAGCCCTTCGTCGGCCACATGAGCGACCGCTGCGCCAGCCCATTCGGCCGCCGAAGACCATACATCGTCGGCGGGGCCGCCGCTATATCCACCGCCGTCCTTCTCGTCGGGTTCTCTGCGGACATCGGCAGCGCCCTCGGCGATCCCGGCGGCGGGGAGACCCGGTACCGCGCGATCGCCGTCTACCTGCTAGGGTTTTGGCTGCTGGACGTTGGGAACAACACCACCCAGGGACCCTGCAGGGCGCTCCTTGCCGATCTCACAGGTCCGTCGATACTCCCCTCTCCCTAACCTCTTTCCCCCTCTCCCCCCCTTCTTTTTCTCCTTGAGATCGGGTCGCCGCTGGCTTCAAGCGTGCGTAAATGCCCTTAACTTTTAGGTAAATTAGGACGATGGACACCGTATCCCAGCGATGTCTGTGGCTGCTCTAGATAACACTTCCTTGCTTCAAGCGTGCGTAAATGTCCTTAAGTTTTAGGTAAATTACGACCAAGGGCACCGTATCCCACTGACGTCTGCGGTTGCTCTTAATAGCTGTCCTTGTGGAAGCGTTTATGTCGCCTAGAAGGAGAAGACAAGCTTGAAATCATTCTAAATTGGGTAACGTATTGCACATATTGGCGAACTTAATGTTGTTAAACTTGTGATTAATCTGCATTAATTTGACCTTGTGCTGTTGGGTTTGATTTCTTGGTGAGGCGACATTGGCTCAGCTATGAGATGTTGACTTGGCAGTCAACTTCCTACTGCAGGATTTAATAGCAATTCCAACAGACCAACTGCTAGATTTCATCATCTTATGTTTGTATGGTCTTTCATGGGTTGCCATTAGACTTTTATGGCCTTAAGTATAAATGGGCTGTGATGATATTGATGACCCTTGTAGAACTTTGCCTATAGATCACTTCAAGTATCTCACTCCTATTCCAGCTCAAAATAAAAATTGCCTGAAACTAGGTTTTGGTGGTGAGTGGTCTCCTCACATGTGTGAACTGCTTTCTGTAAATATCTCTATGAAGCTTCAAATTCCATGAAAATTGATGATTGTGCTCTCATGTACACCTTGCTGCATCTGTTTGGCTATTTTATTTTGTTATTTGCCATGTTTCTTTGGTATTGCATACGGCGGGTTTGATTAAATTATGAGATCGATGGCCACATGCCCCATTCTCTTAAGGTCTGGCTTTTTTTTTTCCTCCAATTTTGAGGGGTTCTGTATAACAGAGATTCTTAAAGGTTATAAATAGTGGCAAACAAAATATGTTCTGATGGGAAGTCTCTTCTATTCATTTTACCATGAGACAGAAGATCAAGCTGACTTGCTTGTCACCTGGCAGGATTACCTAAGGGGTAGTGCTGTAGACCAAGTCAGCATGATCAGTGCCTAAGTTACTTCATGTTAGCTGTACAAGTTACCTAATACATGTTTATCTTTTTCCTTTTCTTTCCTGCAATTTCAGGCAAGGATCACAGACGGACTCGGGTAGCTAATGCTTATTTTTCACTCTTCATGGCACTGGGGAATATACTCGGCTATGCTACTGGATCTTTTAGTCGTTGGTTTAGCATATTTCCCTTCAGTGTCACTTCAGCATGCGGCATAAATTGTGCCAATCTCAAATCTGCTTTTCTTCTTGATGTTGTTATTCTTGCAATCACTACTTGCATCACTGTATTATCAGCCAAGGAAACTCCTCTTTCTTCTGCTGGTGGACTTATGGATTCTGCCGGAGAGACACAAGTGCAGTTAAATACTGAGCACGAGGCTTTTCTATGGGAATTAATTGGTTCGTGTAGGTATCTAACTCTGCCTATTTGGATGGTTCTAATTGTCACTGCACTTACTTGGATAGGATGGTTTCCATTCATTCTTTTTGACACTGATTGGATGGGCCGGGAGATCTACAAGGGAGACCCAAATGAAGGGACGAATTATCAAACTGGAGTCAGAATGGGTGCTTCTGGTCTATTGTTGAACTCTGTTGTTCTTGGATGTACCTCGGTGGTCTTGGAAAAAATCTGCAGAAAGTGGGGTGCTGGCTTGACCTGGGGAATTGCCAACATTCTCATGTTTTTGTGTTTTTTAGCAATGCTTATAATATCTTCTTGGGCAAAAAATAAGGAATACCCACAAAATGGACTTCCTCCGGATGGTGTTGTTGTTGCTTCACTTGTTATTTTTACGATCCTTGGGGCACCTTTGGCAGTGAGTCATTTTATTATTTTCACTATTTGTTGGCACATCTTATTAATTTGTTTGATCAGTATTGACCTTTTTTTGCAGGTCACATATACTATTCCTTATGCAATGATTTCTGCACGTACAGAACCTTTAGGATTTGGCCAGGGTGAGTGACAAGTTGATTCTATTCCATCTCTCCTTGTTGTTCTGCTTTGTGTTTTTGTTTCTAATACTTCTCTTGACTGCAGGGTTGGCGATGGGCATCTTAAATTTGGCGATTGTGATACCTCAGGTAGACATGTTTTTGCTATCATATTATCCTGTCTTGTATCTAATTAAGCCTAAATTAGAAGTATTTTCCCTTAAATGATCAAGTAGAGATAATGTCATTAAGAGAACATAAATAGACATTGCAGAATGGAGTATTCTATTATCCTTTATTTCATCTTATACAAAGCGATGAATAGAAATTGAAATTTAGGAAAGAAAATAAATTCCTTATACTGTGGATGCATCCTTTCACGTGTTTTATTATGACCACCTCATGATTATCATTGACACTTATGTATAGCTCACTACTAGAAACCAACTAGTGACTGGGCATCACAATGTGTGAGATTCTGTGGTCACCTTTTAGCCTGACAAAAAAGAGCTAAAGTTGGCAATGATTGCTTAACCAATGCTAGGTTAGGCAAGAGCAGGACTTTTCTAAAAACCCAAAATGATTTACTCTATCAAGTGGCAGTTTTAGCTCATCGAGTCAGGAAGTAAAGCTTCTATATTCCCTAAACCTAGAGGAGTCTCCTGAAATAGTTAAATAACAAGCTTTCATTTAGGAAGCAATAAACATGAATGAGCATCAAACTCTATCAAACCTTGTGTAGCTATTCCCTTGGTTAGATGTTGACACCTACTATTGTTTTGTAACATAAGGCTGATAAGTAGTGAAGTAGTCAGATATTCTATGGACCCTTCTTGTTTTTAGTTGTGCTCTATATTTGACCTGTTAGTGATGGGAAAAAGGCTTTGACAATGATGCTCAAGCTAAAAAAATATAGCAAGTTTTCTGTCTAACATGCAGAAGTGTAAATGAAGTACCAATGATGTGAAGCCTATAGAGAAGAAATTGAAGTATGGCATGCTGCCACATAACACTCTGTTGGTTTGTCTAATACCAGAGAGCCACTTTATATTCTGTGGTTGACTATTTTGCTTTCTTCCACTATCTAATGTCCACGTATTTCTTAGGCTCCTTATACATTGCAACAAGTGACAACCTCTTTTGTTTCAGTCAGGTTTGGAGCAAGTAATCCACCATCTTTTCCAGTTTAGTAATGAATATAAACATGGATTTTGTATGCTCTAGAATTTTTAACAGTTTTTATGGGCATATCTGTTAGGCTTAATCTAATTTGGCCTATTGATTTGATGAGCGCTAGTTGATCTGCATTAGGTAAAGCTTTTTGTTTGGTAAGTAATGGTGCTTTTGTTGTATTTAGGAAGTCCACTTTCTTGGATCACTTAGAATGAATCAATCTTCTTCACCCCTAAGATCTTATGTAGAGGATGTCATCACATGCTGTTTTGAGACAAACATAGATGAATCTGAAGTCAGTGTAGACCTGAGGATGGATAGGAAGTAGAGATAGTGAAGGTGAGAGGAAGCTACTTGTTCTTTTCCAGTTCCATTTTCAATTAAGGTATCCTTTGGTTGCCTATCTGCTTTGATGTTCATGTACATGAAAGCTAGTCATCTATTTGAAACAGAGAATGAATACCTGGAATGTCATCCGATGCTCGTCAGAAATATATCATGGCTCATATATTCTTGAAGTATCCAGAAGGCAGACATATTTATATTTTAAGGTGTTCCCTCTCTATGATTCCAACAGCCTATGTTGCATTTGGTCTTTCATGCAATCCATTTGGTTGTTTGTACTGATTCATGTACTGACAAACAAAATCTGGTTCTAGTAAAATGTTTTATAACTTTATATTGCATGAGCTGCATAGGGCTTCCTAGGTCTAAATTGCTTGTCATGTAGCAGTGGCAAGGCATGCTAAAATGAAAGGTGACACCTTATTGCATGAGCTGCATAGGGCTTCCTAGGTCTAAATTGCTTGTCATGCAGCAATCTCAAGCCATATTAAAATGAAAAGGTGACACCTTATCACATGAAACACCAAAGTTTGTGCTTACTACACTCTATGAAAAAAAAAATCCACAATTAGACTGATTAATTTAATTGTTGCAAATTCAGTTGAATTCAGAAACTGCAATAAATATAACTAGTAGTCTTTGATGTCATTTACTAGAGATATTTTAGTGAAGTAATTGGTTTCAATAATGGCAAAAATAACTCAAATATGATTTTCTGTGTTTGTTACAACAATTGGTTTCTTTTCTCTTCTTTTTTTTTTCTTTTGCTAATGGAAAGTCTGCTAAATCAGGTGCTAATATCTGTGGGAAGTGGGCCATTGGATCAATTATTTGGTGGTGGCAACTCACCAGCCTTTGCTGTAGGAGCACTTGCAGCTTTTGTGAGCGGACTTGTGGCAATTATTGGTATTCCTCGGTCCCAGATTGCGGGACGAAGGGGTCAAAGATAAGTATTTCTAGTTATTACTATCTCCTCGGTCTATACAGCTATTTGATTATTGTTCCAGATAGAAATGATGAAGACAGTACTGTATCAATTTGATAAAGTCAATACAATTGCAATCTTTTTCCATAACTCGGGTATCTTCTGCTTTTTTCTACCTGTCTATTTAAGCTAATATTTATAAAAAAAGCCTATGTAAACTGAGCCTAACAGAGATCTAATCGTTAGATCATTTCTGTTGTTATTTTAACCACACACGGAGAGCTGTGACAAGTCAAAAAGCTTATGGACACATTGGCAGTGTGAATATATTCTCTACTAGCCTTCTACATATGTTTATGGAGCTTGTTTGTCTTCTCTGTGTTGTTCTTGTTATTGTTATCATTATTTGGTTGTTTGATTAATATTAATACTGGTGTCAGTATTGTACTCAATATCGGTTGATGCCGCTTTGTCCTGTGTTGATAGACTTAGGTTAGACATCTGTGGGATCTTTTGTTGAGCCAGCTCAGGTTGGTCTTATATCTGAAGTGAGCTGTGAGATAGCCACATCAAAACAACATGATAACGTAGGTCTAAGATTTGCCTAATCCAAACTTGGGTCCATTGTGTCCTAGTGTACTAATCTAAGATTCCACAAAGGCCTAATGGGATAGCTTGGGAAGTGGGGCATGTGCAAGTGGACAGATAGGTGCCCGTATTGCCTACACAGAGAGAGAGAGACAGAGAGGTCCTAAACTCTCCCCCATGCAGCAATACAAGAGATGAGTCAAACTCTTGTGCTTGCTATTGTCATTGTTGTGGGGACTTCTTAGGCCTTTTGTTGCTCTGCCCACTAATACTGTTACTATGTTATTTTCCACTGGTTGTGGTTTTCCCTACCTCTCACTAATGATTTGTTGGTAATTTTAGAATTTAGCTCTCTCTCTCTCTCTCTCTCTCTATTCATCTCTCTTACCATTCATTTGGTGACAACCCAGTTGTTATAGATAAATTGTGTCCATGTTATCGAATGGAAGCATCGGTTATGTTTTGATTAAAAGGTCAAAGGCAGTTTTAGATTCATGATGATCTCTTTTGATTTCTTCCTATCCATCTTTCTTCCCAAAAAAAAAATTGTAGGTTTTTTGTATATCACAATCCCAAAAGCTCATAAAGTTAGACAAGACTGAGACAAGCGTATACTCAAAATGCATACCTTGGAAAACTGAAGACGGGCATTGTTCTCCAACAACGTCGCTTTTCGCTGAACGGTCCAGATGAAGTTTACATCATAATTGTGTGCATCCTGATTCGTGCTAGCTAGCTGCTTACATGGAAGGAAAGCATCAGTCTTATTGGGTTAAAAGGAAAAAGGAAACTGGAAAGGTGATGACAGACCTCGATGCTACATAACATAAAGATGCTTTAAAAAGACAACGCAAGAGGTAATAGAAAAAATAAAGATGCTTAATTCATTCATCTCTATCAGTTTCTTTTATCGCAGAATTGAGAATCATATATGAAAATAATGCTCCAAATGAGGTTAGTAATATTCATAATCTTATTGGGAAACTCCTCTTAAGGTAAAATTTAATTACAGCTTGAAAGGCAATCTATTAAGAACTTACTTTTCCTTCATAAAGGTCCACTAATCACATCAAGCATTCGAGTGACGTCCTTGTTTCACAGGAAAAATGAAACAAGAATCGAGAACACAATGGAACCTACACATTGGTCGATGTGGATGAACATGACGAACAATGTAAAAATAGAATTATCATCTGTGTCCATTCATATCAAAATAAATATATTTTGAATAAAAGAATTTAAATCTGGAGCAGAAACATGCGATACAAGTTTTGGTTAGGAGGATGTGCACCTTTAAATATGTAGTTTCTTCTATAAACATGTCAAGAATGTTTGTCATGTTGATCACGTTGTTGGGTTTTCACCGAAGCTTACAGAACCAGGAAATCAAAGCAGGTAATAGATTCCATGACAGCTTGAAGCTTCCCTCTGAGAAGCTCAAATGCTTCTTCAAATGCCAGATCAGTCGATGGTCGAAGCCTGTTTAGTATCATCAGAATTGGTTAGGCACATCCTGTGTTGAGATTTAGAGCCCCGCGGGCGACCGATGAAAAAAAATATCTTAAAGGGTTGCATGTTTACATGTCAAAGAAAACACACCTGTAATAAACAGAATCAAGGAAGGTTGGGGGGTGTTTCAGAAGCCCCAAGTCTTCCACCTGCCTCCTTGAAAGACTGTTGGCATGAACCATGCAATAAACCATGAGAGATTCCATACAGCTCTTCCTTGATCAGCTCAACTGCCAGTCCACTTCTTTTTTTAGCAGGTCCCTCTGGCTTTACTTCTGTATCAATGGCGGTATCAGAATGCAATGTCTGGACTTCAGTCTCTAAATCCCTGCTCAGATTCATCTCTCTTTCCCCTGGCATAGGAGGTTTGAAACATTTGCTTCGCCACAATGTCAGGGTGGAGATTCCTATCCTCGACCCTCTTATCCACCAGTGTTGTATCAGTATCTTTGTCATCTAAAGCAGCAGCATTCTTGTTACCTACGCTTTTAGCTGATTCATCTGCCTGGACAACATCTACATTAGGGTCTTGATCTCCTTAGGCCTTCAAGATGCAGATGATACACACATGTTTTCAGTGGAACAAAAACCCCTCTACTTGTGGCAGGTCGAAAGCTCTAATTAGGATCGCCCTCTCCTAGAGGCTAGAACTATGTTGATACTCACACCTGATGCTCTGGATCTTTTTCTCCATGTTCCAAAGTGAGGTGCAGTTGAGGAGCCTCTAGTTGTTCATGAATTGGTTGATGACCATTCTTCACATTGCTGCTTTCTTGCTCATCTGAGCCCATCATGCTCACCTGAGAAAGGCAAATTATAGCATCTCATTAGAAAGGAAGTTTCAAGAGAGGGTGACTAGGTCCGTGCAGTACTCCCTCTTGGTACCATGAATTTTCCTATCCGGTGCGATGCTAGTTTGTCATCAAAGAATTTTTATCAAGAATGTCTAGCAGACCAGATTTAAAATTTGAAATATCATATTTTAGTTAAATCAATTTCTCAGATAAGTTAACGCTAGACTATAGCTTCCTCAACCACAAGTTACTTGTAACTCGGGCCATATTGCGGTTTGTTAGATACAATGTATTATAAAAAGAGATTAAACCAACATCAATTAGTTGACAGGTTTTTAGACATAAGAAGCCCTCTCCTAATTGAGATACAAACTAGACAAGATTAAAGAGAAGTTATACAAAAGGAAACATACTCTAGTGTTTCTCGATCAAAATGTCACAAGACATTCTTAACACTAGTTCAGAGATAAACACAAGATTCAAGAGAAAGTCAGCAATCTTAACTAAAAAGCATATGGAAAAAGGTTCGAGAAATGTTTTCTCCAAAGGTGGTAAATTCACCCAAAATAAGGTACACTTGTAATAAGCAAATACAAGTAAACAATGCCGACTTTGCCTAACCAAAGAAAACTTGTAATACATAAAATTTTAGGATGTGTATAAGACATTGATTATCTTCTATTGATGTGAGGTGTCTAATGGGAGCAAACACTGTGTTAATTTTTATTGTTATTTTAAACTTATGGTTGTTATAGAAACTTCTACATATGATGGCACCAAATGGTTAATGCATTGAAGAATTCAAGATTGCTTCACATGATAAATTAACTCTATCTAATCTTACAATTATATATAGCGTTTCTAGCTAATCATACAACCATATAAAACCTTAACCATGTATTAAATATGGCACTCGAGCAAAATGTAGAGTTTCAGTGATGTGTGAATCGGCCAAGCTTCACAGCAGTTTTTTCATTTCTTAATGACGATATATGTATATTATTTATACACATACAGAGGAATAAGCATTCTACACATCAGAGAAGAGATAAAAGGATTAATTTCCAATAATTAACTTTATCTGTTTATTTTTTATATAGCTTGTTTCAGTTTGAAATCTGTCCTTTTTCTAAAATCTTACTAATGCCAACACAAGGTAGGAAACAAGTCACAATTTTTCTTTTTTTGATTGTTTAGGAGCATACATCAGCAAAATTTATAGTACTGGTTCAACAGACCTAAACATACCTTCTTGTTCCTGTGAGCACTGTGGCTTTAAGGTTTTCTATTGCCAACTCCATAACTGTTGTGTTCATAAACTTCGGTACCTTGAACCTTCTTTGTGTTTTCTGTGTGCCTTATCCAGTAGAAGCACCTAAATGGCTTTTCAGGTGCCAACTGATCTCCACGTCCCTCATGTCATAAGACATTTTTCATTTCTTGGACAATCTCATCCCCGAGACTGCTCATTCTGCCGTCTTCTATCTGGTTCCTACTCAATGGTGTATCATCTAAAACTTGTCCATTCTTCAATGCACGCTGACCCTCTTCTCTTTTGTGGTGCTTTGGTACACTTTTATGAGGTTGCTTAAGTCAGCTTCCTGTCCTCCCTCTCCTGAGTTGGCATCTATCATCTTTGTGCTTAGCAGCATCAGTTTTATCCCTCATACTCTTACTATCTTCTCTTTTATGATTTTTGACTTCATCCCTTTCTCTTTTCTTTTGTCTTCCCTAGCCCTATAAGCATGCATGGTATCTTGCTTGTCAGTCTTCCCTCTCACTTCATCCTTTTTCCTCTTGATGAATGCATAGTCTACATTTTCATGATGACCTGTCAAAAGATCATCCCTCTCTCTAGGCTTCATCTCTATTATGCCCTCTCCATTCTTCACCACCCACATTTTTTCTTGAGTGAAGATCATCTCTTAGATTCCTGACACTGGCCCTTAATTTACTCTTGTGCCTCTACATTATTTCTTCACTGCTCTCCCACTTAACGCCTTTATCTTTAACTCTTTGACTCTGCAAATTAGCCTCTCTTCTCTACCAAACACCAACAGAAGCTTCTGTATCCTTTGTCCGCTCCAAACTTCTATCTCGACAGGGTGTGCAGAAAGAGGATCCTAATTTCTGTACGAGTGACAAGAATCTTTCCGACCTCTGTAAGCCAACTGTTTTCTGTTTATGTCTTCTCTAGCATCCCGACCATCACCATCTATTTGATGAGACTTGTGTTCTCTTTGAGGCCTTTGCAAATCATCTGTTTGACCCAAATATCCTTGTTGTGTGTCTCCAATATTTTCATGCTGCTTCTACAAATCCTTACTGCTTCAGGATTTTGCTCCACTGTTGTCACTATGTGAGGTCCTCAATTCATCCTCAACATCACTCATACAAGTTTCAGTTTGCTCAACTTGTGAACAAAGCTTTTGTTCTTTGCCTAGATGATTTATGTTATCACCGCTGACAGTTTCACTGGATACATGGAGATCTAATATTTTGTTGTCTCCTTCAATTTCATTGTCATCATTTAGCAACCATTCCACTGGGCTCATCATATTTTCCTTCAGTGCTCAGATGTCGTGCAGTTTCTTCTTCAACATAAGGTGATATTTTAGAATTCTGGCTAACTTCAATGATATCAAACAGTTTTTTCTGCTATTGGTTGTCGAACCTGTTTAAGTGGACACTTCTGCTAAAGACAATGTCATTTGAGTGTTCACTATCAGTGAAGCGTCTTCCAAGTAAGCTTCCTTGAGGTGACCTGAAATTGTGGTCCATTAGTCTCTCATTCATTAATGTAATGAGTAGAGATCAACGGATAATGAAAAAAGTAATCGTACTCATTAAATGTACAGAAGCAAATTCAAATATGTGGGTGATGAAGACTGGAAACAAGGAAGAAAGCTTGGTCAACAATACCAGAAATAGCCTGATGAGATTATGACTTTGTTTTTGCACAGTTTATATGTATCGAATTTAGCTCCATTAGATGATCATAGTCACATAAATATTATCACAAGCTAATGCCTTTAGTTCTATGCCTTGAGGTCCATCTGTGTACCCAGCGTCTCCGCATGCCAACCTGAAGCCCACCATCTTTAACTGAGTTCATATAGCTAATTCAATAGACACCATGAGATCACAGTATCCCAGATCAGATGACTCCACTTTCTTTGTTCATTGCTACCTACATCTGTTTCTGTTAATTTAATATTTAACATCCACATTACTGTATGTTTAGAAGAATTTATACTACTTTTTAAATCATAAATCACTGGTTTTTTGGCTACATTGTTTTCAAAATCAAAGCCTGTGGAATCGCATAAAACAGATAAAAAAAGTTTCTATTTCGAATGAAAATTTGCATCCACAAGCTTACTTGTGTGCAGGAAGCATAAAGTCAAGCCCACTACCAAAAGCACAGGCTACTGAACTATTTGCCCAAGCAGGAACTCCAAAAAACCTGTAATGGATATGTTTGGAGGCATTTGGAATAGCCCCAACGCTAGCAGGTTTCCAGTCTCCTCTTCCTCGACCAGCAATGGAACCAAAAGCAAGAGGAGGCTGCACAACATCAACACAACTTACCGTGGCAGCAACAGGACCCACAAGCAGCAGTGATGTACCAGGTCTATTATGCTGTTTGCAATAGAAGAATCGCAAAATTAGCTAAAAAATGTCTCCACAAGCACCAAATCATAATAAACAAAAACTCTCTCATGCCAGAAGGACTCCAAACCTTAAACCACTGCTTCCTAGATAGCAATCAAGAACTTCCCAGAACCATAGGCAAATAAGTAAACTTTCTGTAGCCTTGTTGATATTGGATGAAAATTAGAAGTGCCAGAATCTAAAGCAATAATTGAACAAGCTAGAAGCTGAGATAATACTAATGTGCTAGGCACATAAAGAGAGCTCTCTGTCTTTAAAAGAAGGGCTTTGACTCTTCATTTTCAGCAAGAGATCAGAAAGGAAAAAGGTTGATAAAGGTGAAATATAGCAATGTCAAACCCAAACTCAGATTGCAGGTAGCATTGCTAGTTGCTTCTAACTCCAAGACTCTCTTCTTTTTAAGCCTATTCCTGGAGTGAAAAGAGAAAAAAGCAGCCATTATAGCATATAGTATTAGGCTAGGCTACAAAGCTACAATATACTGTACAACAATATTGATCCAAGATCTATGACTCATAATTCAAGTTGATAATTTTGTACTTTCCAGGTTTTCAGATGACTTTGATTTATATATATAGTGGCTACATAAAGGGACAAAAGCAATCCAATTTAACCCCTATTTCCTGTTTAAAAGTGTCTTAAACAGACTTAATTTTGTTGAATCAAGAGAAGGGAAGTCGGGTTGGACTAATCTGATAGCAAAAAGTTTTACTTATTCTCTTTCCATTGTGACTACAGGAAGAGTCATATTCCAACAATGGCATCATCTTCACCTACATGTTGCACTAACAGCTGAAAGTACCGGACACAGTTGTACTTGAGCATTGGTGATAACACTACTTCCTATGAACCAGCTTTGACTCAACTGGGTGAAATTGCCACACATGGAGATCTGATGACTTGTTCTAGGAAATTATAGTAGGACAAATATGGCAGCATCTAGGATGAATAATCCGCAAACCAGCATATACTTGGAGATTGCTAGTCCATAATTTCAATGCCTTCTTCCTTGTTTCTGACAACTAATTGATGATTTTTTTGGTTGATCTAAAGGACACTCACCAACCAACATTCAGTGAGAGTTGCAAAGCAATTTACTCATCAACAGTTTAAGCAACAAAAACTTGTGTTTCATGATAAAGCTTAGTGCATTAAGCACAGACATTCTTATAAGATAATAAAAAACTCTGCACCAAACATACTATATCTAAAGTTACTATACGAAAACCCAGTTCTTGGCTTTCACCCAATATTCGAACTCATCAAAAGAACTGACCTTGTGCGTCGACTGATGATTGGTGTATCCAGTCCTCCCCCCAGCCCCCAGGAACTCTTCAGCAGAACCTGTCACTTTGTCAGCATTCCCAATCTCCTTTCTCACGCCATCATTACTCGGCTGCATGGCATCCTCAGCCCAATCTTGCTGATGATAATGACCTTCATCCGTGACAATAACTAAATCATCCTCTCCATCCTTGCAATCATTCTCATACTCCTTTCTGAAACTATCATTTCTCACACCATTAAGTGGACGATGGTCGTTGCCATTCAGCAGGATCTGGAGATCATTCTCGCTATCGCTGTCCGGCCCTGACTGCCCGACCGGTCCATGCCTCCACCGCCCGCACCAAAAGAGGCCCCGGAGGGTCTGCAGCAGCTGAGAAGCCAGGGATGACCGGCTAAGAATCCCTGAGAGGTCAGCTGAGAATCCCTGAGAAACCAGGGATTCATTCGCTCCCTACGAATGAATTCCTGCCCTCATTTGCATCTCCAACCGCCTCAACCTCCCCACGGGGAATCCCAGAAATCCTAGCCTCTCCCTCCAAGTCCTTCTGAAAAACCCTAGGCGCGCCATCCGACCTGGACGGGCGTCCATCGTCGTCGTCATCCCAATACGCCGGCGTCTCCACGGCAGGGGACGCGCGGCCGAGCAGCCAGTCGTCGCCGCCGTCGGCTAAAGTTCTAGATGGAGTCGCAGCAAGTTCGGCAGATTGGCCGGACCGGTGGGGCCCGAACAAGATCCGGTCTTCAACGTTGTCGTCGTCGTCATCATCGCCACCGGGAAGGGCGACGAGGGGATCGGGGGCAGCGGGGATGGGGCGGTGGACATCGGCGTAGAGATCTCCGAACTCGTCATCGCAATCCATCCCCGGAGGGATCGGCGGCGAGGGAAGGAGTGCGGCCGAGACGCGCAAAAGTGACGCGAGACGGCGTTGTGCGTTTTTGGGGGGCGGGGAATGGAAACCACACCGAACGATTCAACGGTGAGCAGCTATTTTACAGATACGCCATCATCAAGTCTTGATATAGACTCCGTCTCCGTCGCGCTTCGCGGAGTGACGTAGGCGACTGTTGCATCATATCGGCACGATTTATAAAGCAGATGGTTGCACCCAAGTGACGGCTGGATCTAATGCAAATATGCAATCATACTGGTTCTCGAAGATTAAAGCAATCGGAACCGTGGCATGATTCCTACATCAGATGGTTGCACGCAACTGGCGGCTGGGATCCACTGGCATCATGCTGCTTCGCGAAGATTAAAGCAGTCAGAAACGGCTTATCTTCTTCCCAGCCCTTCGATTAAAGCTGTCAGCAACACCCGTCGATTGCTATTGATCTTCTTAGAGCCCTCAGGCAGACTGGCAACCGACGGCTGGGATCTAATGGAATTATGTAATCGTGTGGGTTCGCGAAGATTAAAGCCGTCAGAAACAGCCGCCGAGTACTATGCATCTTCTTTCCAACCCTTTGGGAGGTCAGCGTGGGTCGCCTCTCATCTCTTCCTGCTTTGGCTCGTAGACTCTTAATTAGGATGGCGGCGAATCCTTCTCCTCTTCCGTCGTTTAAGGTATGGCTCAATTTAATCCGTCGTCCGGATGATCGAATCGCACTTCTATTCGATTGTCATCTTATTCTAATCACATAAAAATTGCCAATTTGTTTCCTCAGCATCTGATTGCTAATCTTTCCTGCGCCGTTTCTAATCTTGTTTTTGATATAGTAGATGCATTAAGCTGTGATCTTAGTCCACACTCTAATTTGTCCGCTAAACATTATTGAGATGAATTTGACGGCAGATAATCTTGGGATCTTCATCGGTGGCTCGTCGGCATATTCTATCCGAGATGGGATATCAATTTGAAGTCATGGTTTGTTAACTAATGGTCTCTGATTCTGTTCTTCGTGGCATAGAAATGGTAATCTGGCTTCTTTCTAGACCGCAGACATAGACGAGAAGAGTATTCGCAGGGACAATCCAGATGAATTGGTCATGGTTCTTGCGGAGGCAAAGGTATTCATGTTCAATTTTGGAATCTACTCTGGCAGCGCTTACAGATGTCCGTACTGATAACTTGGTCCATTTGTTTCTACAATTGTGTGGCTACTATTTAAAACCAGGTTTAAAAATCATAGATTAATCAAGATCATAGTTCCAAGTGATTGCAATAGCACTTATTCTGGCATATTAGATTTTCTATTCTTTGGACTTCAAGTATATTGAGAGTTGTTCCTACGTCTATTGAGGTTCGTTTTATTTGTGTGGTTCGGGGCATAATGTATGAATATCGTATCCTGCCATTGTGCTTAAGAGTTGTCTTTACATCTGCGTAATGCATGCTACATGTGGTTTGTTCGATACGAGCATGAACAGATCAAGAACATACTTTATCTGTTTGATAATTGTTTGTTTGATACTAGTATAGAAATTCAATCCAAGAATATGGCAAATAATACTTGTTGATTTAACTAACCTAAGGTTGTATAATTTTGTGGCACATGTACTTATTAATGATTTACTTGGAGTTAATATTAATTACTTGTGTGTTATTAGCCCACGAATGGTCATATAAATATTGTATTGACATTGTATGCTCCGTGAATGAATCAACTCTTGAGATTCCAATATGTTTAGAACAAATTTTATTGTGTTTCTTCAAATAAAATCTTTGATGCTTTTATTTCTCTGTCTTGCTTTTCCTGAAGTATGATGTTTTTCCAGGCTGATGCCATCATATCCAGGATAATGTCCGAAGGTTACGTGGAAAGGATTGATGAACCAACACTCTTAATTACTTCTGATATAGTATGTCTTAAGTTCCTCGATATGTTATTACATTTATTTATTTTTTTCACTTTATTAATTGCATTGAAATAGTTTAGACATTTGGCCTTATTTTGTGCTGGAAGCCTAAGGTTGAGTGATTCCATTAAAATCTACACACCTGGTAGTCCCAGAATATGGTTGTGTGAAACTCTTATTGCTACTACTAGGAACTATGGTGTAATCCATCTTTAGAAGAACTGGGTGGACCATTTATCATTTTGTACTTCCGTGCAGCAGTGTTGTATACTTGCTTTTTGTAGCAAAGTTACATGGCTTGTGATGACCCAAGAATGTATTCCTAATTGGTAGGATGTGTTTCTCAGGCCATGTAGATATCTCTTGATCTTCAGATGGTTGCTTGCCAAGTTGGAGATATGCTAGTTGCATTTCATGTTAAAAGAAAAATTCTTCTTCCAACATACTAACCATTTGACAATGTCTTAACTGACATACCTCTTTATTGCTTGCTTGTTCATATTGTAAGGAAACAGCATTTCTTTTTAATTCTTTATTTTGCATTAATTGATGTTGGAACTACTCAGAGACATATATATACAGATGGTGTGTGTAATAAGCTTGTCTTGTTACCTTTATTAATTAATTGTCATTTTGTGTTATTTATTTATTTATTTATTTTGTTTGATCAACAGCTAGTACATTATATTCATATTTGTCTGGTTGATATTTGAAATCAAGTGTACAACATCCACATAAAGAAAGCCATAGCTGTGATTCCCCTCATCTCACTGCGGAAACAGATTAAAAAGCAGCATTCCGTTGTCAGCACTCATCTAGCATAATTTTATTTATTAGCATGTTGGTTTTGTTTGTAGATTTGAAGAAGTTGTGATATTACAATTTGGTGGATGCTCAGACTAGGATTAGGATGAAATACTGCTTAGGGACATTATCAATGATTGGTTTATAGAACACAATGCTTAATAAAATTGTTATTCAAGATCAGAAAAATATAAGCTAAAGAAGGTTTGTTTGTGTATATTCACATTAGCTCATGTATATTTATTTTGGTTCATATATATTTAATGTAAGTATGACAAACTTGAATTCTTTTAGTTTATTTTATTACTAAGTTGGAATTAATTTGGAGGTGGTGGTCCATGAAGGAATAATCAGAGAAAAGCCAAGCAGCACGGAAGAAGCCCGTCAGTTCCTCAAAGGTTGAAGAAAGTATCATGCTTGACTTTCCTATCTGATGATTCCGCTATATGTATATACAAAAAATTAGAGTTAATACTCGCTGCAGGCTATTCTGGAGGCCATGTATCAACGGTGGGTTCAGTTCTTGTTACTAATCTCAAGACAGGCAGGAGGTACGGAGGTTTGGACAAAGCTGAGGTGAGATTAAAAAAGTTTGTGAATGTGTTTTATATGCTTGTTGATAAAATCATATGTCCATGCAGAAAATTCTCTTATTGCCTTGTTACAAAGAAGATGTTAGTTTGTGTATCAGAAAACGGTGTATTTTTATTGAGCATCTTCTTATGAGCATGATCCATCCATTGAAGATTTATAGAAATAATGAGACTTAATTTTCATATGTTATCTTCTCTCTTCATTTTCACTTGTCTGCATGATATCAATCTTTCCAAAGAAAAAGAAAGGATCACTTCTTATGGCTCTCAATTCTATTATTCTTGATGCTGACAACAGAGCTCAATGATGGGAAAAAAGAAAAATCAAAGTCGCTGTCCCCAGATAGTTGGCTGCGTTGTTTTTCTTGTCGTCGTTTACCTTTATGAAGAACAATCTAATTATCATAGCTTCTCTTACAACTTGCAGGTCTATTTCCATGACATACCAGATGAGATCGTCGAGAACCTGGTACTTTCTCATCTTATTTCTCTAGGTTATCCACTCAAGTTTTGATAACGATGCTGAACAGCTTGCGTGCATGTATGGAATATGATCCATAGTGTTTGGTTGACCCTGCTTCGTGGAGAGTAAAAACGGCGGATATTAGCCCGTACATGATATGTTGACCATCTGATGTTCCATTACTGTTGCTTGTTGCCTCGTATGTCCAAAATCCAGAAGAGGCAATAGATCAGACGGATTACATCTTAAAAGCACATTGCACTTTTTATATCAGCTTCTTGATTGACGGTGAAGTCTGACTCAGTTCTCTTGTTCTATGTTCAGATCGACGAGGGTGTTGTATTCAATGTTGCTGGTGGCTTACTGCTAGAACACCCATTAACTTTGCCATTTGTTGAAGCAGTGGTTAGTAGTTGTGTAAATCCATCCATTCCTTGGCTATTATTTCGATGCGGCACTCAAGCTCTTCGGTGGCTGTGCAGGTCGGAACCACGGATAGTGTCATGGGACTCGCAAAGGCTCTCACAGAAAAGCTTATCCGTGAAGCGCTTCTGCCAGATTCCTAATCAACTTTGAGACTCTACGATCATGTATGTACTTCAGCAATCTGTTTGATACCATTTTTATTGCCAAATCATGGCATGTTCGCCGCCACCGCGAGATTACAAATGCGAATGTTAATGCATTGCCTCTGATGGTTACTAGTAGAACAGATGGTTTAACAGTGATACCGTAAGCTTGTCTTAGTTTCAAGCTTTGTCAACATTGGAATTAGAGATTTTTTTTCTTTGTATCAATATCAATAACTTCTCCATGATATGAAGATTTCCGATTACATTTCTGTTTTAACATCTCTTGTTTGTTATATTCGTATATATTTCCTTAATTCGAATTAAATTACAATGAAGAAGAAAGCTTACCCACCTTGATTTTGACTCCCATTTCCCAGAGTTGACTTATCAAAGTCACAAGCTAAAGGCACCGATTGAGAATATAAGCCACTTTTGGTAGAGATCGACTCAGCGACACACCACTTTGTTTAGTCTCAGCTTTGTCCTTATACTTCCCCTGAGCTCGACACACCACCAAACCATCGCACTTGCAAAGCTATTAGCTGATTGCTTTCTTGATAAAGTGAATGAAAAGAACTCATCATTAAAGGCTAATCATGAGCTTTTATGAGTTAATCATGTATATTTAGATTCATCGTAAGGTGAAAGAAATGGACTAATGATGAATCGGAAGCTCTTTAATGCAAGCAATCATGCTACCATTGTAACAGTACATGGTGATGTGGTAGGGATAGGGATGAAGCATATATAAATATATATACATACTTAAGACAGACGTATTCTCTTCGGACACCATCTTCTTCTTCCGTCTGCTGATACTTAATTGCTGTCGTACTCTCCGTATTATAAGTTGCAGTCACTCATGCGACTGATCCCAGTAGCTGGATCACAGCCTGGACACAGTATCTACATTGTGGCATGCACGTGCCTTACATGTGCACTCCCACAGTGTTAGCGTCAAGCGTCAACGTGGTGCATGTTGTAGTGCATGCAGAGACACGTCCATCACGTTACTCTCACCATTCATGTCTATAAATATAACCAAGTGCGGTGCAAGGCATCTCAGATCATCTCCATCAAAATAATAATCACCCAAGTCAATAGATTCATGATCTAGCTCAAACTCCATCGGATACTCGATGAATCTACCGACTATTTAGAGTGTTCTTTTTGTGGATTGGATTGGCAAACGCTCCAGTCTGATGTATATATAGTCTTCAGAGGTGAGTACCCCAAGTTTTCTTGCAGCGTCAACTGAGTATGATGCATGTCATCCTAAAAGAGCGTCTTGCCGAGCTTAGAGGCATCTCGCAGTGTCGACGGATCCTCGAAGAAGCAAGTCTCGTCCTGTTAGGAGACTTGTGTGGTACTCCAGACTTTAAACAGCGGTTGATGATCTCGTGCCATGTTGACAACGGGATTTGCCGATCTCATGCAGAGGTTGGATGCCGACGACCTCTCATCGGACATTGTCATCGACTACACATGAAGATGCAAACTGACATTTTCATGATGTGATTGCACTACACGACTCTTCCTCCATCGTTGGTTTAATATCCCTCGGAAGCCCCTCTCTCATCTTAAAAGTCAAACTGACCATTTTGTCTGCAGTCAGTCAAATTAGAAGGCTATATAAGGTTAAAACTTGGTTTTGTCACCTTCTTGTTCTTGATCAATCGCCTCACACGTTTCTCCAACCTAACTCGGAGGAAGAACACCGAGAAAAGATAATGTAATTAAAAGAAAGGAAAAGAAAACATACTAGTCCGACTTGTAGTAGTTTAGAAGAACAGTTTGCGAATGCAGACCTGCTCATTTATTTGACTTTGAGCTCAATTTTCCTTCTTCGGCAAGCTAAAATACAAATATTAGAGTGTGGAAAATGTCACACCACTTGGTTCTTTTGAACTGTTCTTCACATATGTCCATCAAAAGTCTGCCACGACTTGCCGAAGGATTTCATTATCAGAGGTGGTGTCTACAAACGCAATTCTATTCGACACGGACAACTTACGACACTGTCTTTTTCTGAGATGAAAGAGTAGTTTAGACGCCATATTTTATATCTCGAGCCGTATTTATGCTGCAGATCTCACAAGCTTCGAAGAACAGAAAGAGAACGTAAATAGCAGAAATTAAGCTCTTCGGAATGCAGAATATGAAGACGATTCTTTCCGGCGTTTAGTTTGCGTTTGTTCTCCTTTTCCCCTAAACAAAAGCTTTGCTGGTGTTCTTCCGATGCCTGAAGCTCTCAAAACACTACAGGAGGCGATGTTACCCCTTTAGACTTACCCAGTCCCTCACCTGACTTCGATTGGACCGAGCACGGGCCAAATGCGGGTCCCGTTTCGTGAGTTTCTTCTCAGGGACTCGGTCCGCCGCGCCATCACCGGGTGCGGCAATCGCACACGCGTCCAAATCGCGCCGCCCGTAGCGGAGTGGTCCACGTGTCGTCGCTTTAAATCTCGCGGCGATTCCGACCGTTCTCGAACCCCCCCCACCTCCCCGTTGACCAGCGACAGGTCTTGCCAAATGCACCCTGGCTTCTACTGAAACTTCCAAATTGCCACGCTCAATCACCAGCGATGTCAGCACGTCGGCGTTTATTGCCTCCGCTGCTTAATTATGGAGGGATCAAAACATAAATATCCAAGTTGAATTCATACTTTCAATTTTTTAATGTACAATAAAATTTATATTGTTGTATTCTTTTCTCAGGTTTTCACTTTATATATATATATATATATATATATATATATATATATATATATATATATAGAGGAAGAGGAAATCTCATACGCACTTCCTTCAGTTTTGGTTCGAAAGGAGGCATGCATCTGAGTATCTTCAAGGAACTTAATGCATTCACATAGGTAGGACGGTACCCTTTGTGAATAGCAAACGTAAAACCTCATTATTTGGCTGCGACCCCATATTCTACTTCCCTTCCATGTCTTCTATCTGGTAACAACATGACCAAACCCTACGGTTGCTGCCTTCAATTCTATCACCCTTCTCCATGTACGCTACTGTATCATTTGCTCCTCTCAACTGCCCACCACAGCATCGTCCTCCCGTTTAATTCCTTCTCATCAAGCGATGAATATGAGAGGATAGCAATGTGGCAAGAGAGAGAGAGAGAGAAGGAAGAGGGGACGACAAAGGCATTCAAAGGCAGGAGGAGAATGATGACCGCATGGTGACAGAGGTTGTTGTGGTTGGAAGCTAAGTACGAGTGCAGGATGGTGGGACTATAGAAGCTGTGTGAGGGAATCCGTCAAGTTCTTATCACCACAGTGGTTGCAGGAGGCCGTGAGCCCACCCTGCATCTACCATATGCAACACAAATGGTAGCAGCAGAGAGAGAGAGAGAGATTGTAATAGTTGGAGGAAGATGAAGAGTATGGAAAGACGATCTACACAATACTGTTTGAATCCGTATAAGAAATTTTTATACATGGTTTAATATTTTTTATGTAGCTTAATGTCTAAGTTATAATTATATATAATCGATCAAGTAAGATATATTATCATTACTACTGTTATCAACACAACTAACATTATTATGGTATCACTATTTTCATAATATTTTCATGATTAGTGAAGATTTATTTTCTTTGCAAACATGTTCTACGAATATTAATTAATGATAAGAGTTTTAACGAGTGATCTCTTTGGAATACAATAAAGTAAAACTCATAAAGAGAAAATACACTACTTACTTTTGATTAATGTCAAAGGTATTGCTTGTAAAATGATTTTGTAAGTTTTATTAGGTGGTATATCATAATAAAAGGTGGTCCTAAGACATCACCTTGATATTGTTGCTTTAATAACTTCAATTTTCATGATCATGATGAAAGTGATCCTTTAACCGCCCTCCAATGATGCAAATAATTAGAAATTAAACATTTTCATAATAAATATGAATTAAAATAATATTTGTTGACATGTATTCAATCCCAAAGAAAAATATCAAAATGATGGCAAATTTCTAAGTGAGGAGACAAGAGAGGGTCTACCGGATCTCTCTCTTTTCCAAGTGGAGCTTTCTTGCCGACCACATGGAAAGCTCCAAGTCTTGGGAAGAAAAAGGAGGTGGAGGACGCCATCAGAGCCGTCAATTTGGCCGGTCAATGACTTCGACTTCCCAAACCCTCCTAATCTCCGGTCTCAATCACAAAGCTGGGCACGATCCCAATTTTGTAATTAGCAATCCTAATCAGGGGTATTTCCGTCCAACCATCATCCACCTCAGTCAAAATATTCTAAAATATTAAAAAAAAAAACAAAATTTCATTATCATATTAAATAAAAAATAGCATCATTATAAAATAATCATATATAAAGTACAAAAATAAATAAAACGAGATATAAGAACATTATTAGCAATTATAAATAAAAATATTTTTTGTGTGCATATATGGTGGGGGGGCGAATTCGTTATTTTTGGGAGTTGGTAGGGATAGATAGGTAAAACTAACAAGGAGAGATGTCACGGGAGCTCCGACGCGGAGAGGAAACGAGAGGAGGGGGAAACGGTTTCGTGAACGGGAAACCAAGCCATTTGCCATTTGCCAATATTTAATGTCGGCCTTCCTCACTTAGCTGTCCTCGCGCTTTTCCCGTCCAAGTCAACCCCTCCCTACTCCTCCACCTGACTGCTTCTCCTACTCCTCCTCCGGCGGCTCATACCGCCACCGCCTCCGCCGGCCACCCAACCGATCAAAAGCCCATAAAGTTAAATACTTTCATTTTTATTCCAACCTTTAATGTTCCTATGGTCGTCCAGTATTGCTTTTATTGTCGCCATTATTAGGGGGGAAGAAGAGCGAGGGTGAGAGGTAGAGAGAGGCAGCTGGCATCTGTGTTTGAGCATTTAATTGGAGCCCCTCTTAACTCGCCCCGAACGAGTAGTTGTAGACGAAGCAGCTGCTCTACCCGCCCGCTTTTCTGCTTCGCTTCTTCCGTCGATTCTTCATTCCCCTTCCCCTACTCCTTTCCCTTTTTCTTCGTATCTGTTCCTCCCCCTGCAACTGAGAGGAGGGCCGGAGAGGAAAAGAAAGGGAGGGGCATTGATAGGACTGCGGTGGTCTGTTAATGCTGCTTGCGGAGCGGAAGCAGAGGAGTAGGAGGAGGAGGAGGAGGAGGCCCGAAGCAGGGGCGCTGGCGGAGGGCGGGCGGTGATTGATGGCCGCTAGGGCCCACACCGTGTGCCGCAGGTTGCCACTTCTTGGTAATCCTCGGGCCCACCCGTAGCCATGCCCCGTGTCGCGG